TCCAGGCCAAGGATAAAAAGGTCTTAACCTTAACCAGGGCAGCATGACAACCAGGTTGCAGCTAGGTGGCGAGCGTGATGAAAGGCTGTGTGTGTGTGTGTGTGTGTGTGTGTGTGTGTGTGTGTGTGCGCGTGTGTGTGTGTACAGACCCCAGGGTTCTGCCCAGTGGACAGCTAGAAAGGTCAGCCTGCAGCTAATAATTATGACTAGGAATGTGACAGAAATCAACTGTGAACAGTGACATACTAAGAAGATCTCCAAGGAAGAAGGAGCAGAACGGAGGAGAAGGGTGCAAACTCTGGAAAGCACCTACTTGCAGGGAACGGGGCAAATATCAGGAGAGCAGAAAGAAAACCTGAGCCCACGACCCAGAAGTGCCATGAGGAGGAGGCAGAAGAGGACGTGGTTGCCTGCCAGAGCTCTGCCGGCTTCTGCCTGCTGTCCTCATCCCCAGTGTTGCCATCGGGGACAGGTCCCTGGAGACTAAGGAAGCTGGATCCTAGAGGGCTGGAGTGCTTCCTGTAGAGAGGAGCAACGGATGGATTGCGGGGCAGGGGAGAAGCCTGGCGGAGGAAGGCAAGTGGAAGGCGGAGGTAGGAGACAGGGAGAAGAGGCAGGCCAAGGTGAGGGAGGCTCTTGGGAAGCAGTGAGGAGGGTGTCAGTCCCAATCGCAGCTCCCCCAGGCAGGGGTGCTGCTGGGTGGGTAGGGCAGGTGCTCAGAAGCAGGGGGAGGCGGCAGGGAAGCGGCAGAGTCACCGTCAGGGCAGCTGGCCTGGCCACAGGGCTCTCCATTAGAGTCAACAGAGTTCAGTTCCAAAAAAAGCCCATCTTAAACACTTTCATAAAAACAAAAACCCCACACACCAAAAAAGCCTTTAAACCAAAACAAAATGTCAGTGACATTTCTGTGTAGGTCAAGACACCTGCTCCCAGGCGTGGACTCCACCACTCAGCAAGGTCCTTCCCCACACCGTCAGCTCTGGACGCCAAATACACTGCCCCGTTTCAGACACGAATCCAAAGAAACATCATGCAAAGCAACAAAAACACTCCCATACCTAATGCCATCAATAGACCAGACTTCCTAAATATCCCAGACTAAAGGGAAACAAGAAGAAAGATAAATCTGTAACCGTGTGAAAGCGTCGTTGCTAAAGTGACTAACTGGAATCAAAGCTTTCTGAAGCACCTTTTAAAATTTTATTTCCTTCTTAGCCAAGCAGAGAAAAGGTCAAGCAGCACTTCATTTTTCTTTTTCTTACGACTATCAACATGATAAACAAGACAAAATCCGTTTTGGGGAGGTGAATATGCATTTTACAATGCAGACATTAATTTACCAAAAAAACACTAAAACAATTCAAAAACCACAACAGCTCCTAGAAGAGCCATAATGTAACCACAAGCAAAAATGGCAACACAAGGCTTTGGTTAACTAAAGGCATTTGAAGAGGGCTGATGCTTCCCTCAGGAAGGGCACTGGAGCTCCATATTGGGAGCCAATGTCATTTTTATCAATGTTAAAGTTTTAAGGAGTAGATCGTTATGGGCTCATTTCCTTCCTTCGATTCAAAAAAGCAACAAAAACAAACTAACAAAAGGCACGGTGTACTCCTTTGTGTCAGAACTAGGCAGAACATGGCAGGGCTGGCGCCTGAGGACCCTGGACGTAGGAGGTGCCCGCAGCTGGTGGGATCCACCTTGGCCCCTCCACAAGCCCAGGCACCGGCCATCTCCTCTCCAGTCTTCCCTTCAGTTAGACTGGAACTGAGGCCCACAGGGAGATACAGGCCCCACCCAATAAGCTCGCCCTGGCCTCATAACTGAGAGCAAAGAAACACAACAGCAGAGGCTCTCGTGTCAGTAATGAAAGGAGCCCAGATGACAGGCTCTCTTACTGTTTCTATTTTAACCAGATATCAAGGCGTACCTGAAAATCCTCTGAAGTTACTATTCTGTGGATACAGCCCTAAAGTCAGAATTTTTACAAGGACAACAAAGTAGCATTCACCATCATCTAGGAATCATCCCTTTATAGCTCTTCCTCCCCAAATCTATAACCTAGCAGTTTCCTGTCCCTTTGAGGTGCTTCACACAAGGCTGAATGTGACACCCTAAAGCAGCTGTTATGATGAGGTTGGCGCTATGGCCTGGGAGCCTGTCAGATGAACTCTGCCAAAATACTCTCAAGAAGGTCCATTTTCAAGGCCACAATATATAAGAATTCTACAGACAGAAACGTAATATCTACTCTAAAAAATTAGGGAAAGCAGAGGGGGTAGTTGGAGTTATGATTTCTCCAGAGGCTAGAAAAGACCAGGCATTTCTACTGCCTTCCGATCTGGAACAGGTGCAGCAGCAAGGTGCTTCAATATGACTGGAGACAGTCCCAAGGAGTGGGAAGAAAGCAGGAACTGCCTCTGTGCTCTGCACTGACCTATCAGGGCGAGACACTTTGGAGGTGAAGTCGCCTACATCTCTAATGGACTGGGCGGGTCTTCCCAGTCTCGCCTCACATTAAAAAATTACAAAGGCCATGAAGGTTAACAGTGAACGCTGGGATTTATAGGTGATATTTTCCTATCTTCTTTGTACTCCTCTTCTTTCCAATTTTTCTATAAACACGGATTTTAACTGTTTATATATTTTTTAGTTGGCAAGGGGGAAAAAGCACCTTTTAAAATATTTGTGTTTCTGGCCAGGCACGGTGACTCATGCCTGTAATCCCAGCACTTTGGGAGGTCAAGGCAGGAGGATCACTTGAGCCCAGGAATTCATGACCAGCCTGGGCAACAAAGTGAAACCCTGTCTTAAAACTAAACTTAAAAAAAACAACTAAAAAAAAAAAATACATTCACACACACACACACACACACACACACACGAGCGCACACATGTATGCACACACACATACAAGGTAGAACTCAAAAATACCCAAAATTAATTTATAAAAATTGGGTATTTATTCTTACATGTTTACCTTCAAAGTATTCTCCATTTGATGCAGTATACCTATTGAGACGCTTTTTCCACTGCTCAAAACAGTGTTTAAACTCATCAATTCTGATGTCCCTTAATGCTTCTGCCATTTTTTGTTTCAGCTCTTCCACATCAGCAAAACGTTTCCCTTGGAGGACTTCTTTCATCCAGGGAAACAAATAAAAAGTCACTTGGGGTAAGATCAAGTGAACAGGGAGGGTGGGGCACAGGGGTCAGAACACTCAGCACAATGTAGGCAGGTGCGTTGTCATGGTGGGAAAACCAGTCATCTGTCTGCCACAACTTGGGACGTTTCTTCCACAAATCATGACAACCTTCTCAAAACTTCAGATAAAAGGTGGATCGTTTGATCCGGAAGAACAAATTCTGAGTGTACTACAGAGGGCCCGTCCTCCAAAGATTATTTCAATGTTTTTGAAGTCCCCCCTCGTACATGTTTCCAGATGGAACATTTTCATTTATCTTTGTCTCAGGTGAATTTCTGGAATTTGTCATTCCATTCCATTCACTTGTTCATCCAAACGTTTTTTATTTTCATGTACCAGGCACCAGAAAAGAGGCAAAGGTCGGAGTAACGAACACGGGGGTTCAGTGCTGGGCAACAAAGTGAAACCCTGTGTGCACAAGGGGTAACAGGCAGGTTAGAGAAGCATTTTGGTGAGGAAACGGAGAGGCCACACGGTGCAGACTGTGGCCAGCAGTCCTGACTCTCGGACTCACACGTGTCACCTCTTTGCCTGGTTGCCCTGCTCGTCCCTGCTTGTCCTGGAAGATCACCTATGGCTCACAAGGGTTAGTAGCTCGCTTCCCAAGGAGCCTCTCCGTCCGTGCCACTCCCACACCGTTACAGCAGGCCTTCGGATTCCCCTCTGCTGTGCACACTGCTGAACATGTACAAGGGCTCACGCCTCAGGCCCATTCAACACCCAGGACCATCTCATCCTTGCCCAGGCCTTGCAGGTGGGCCACTGCCTTACCCATTGGCCAAAGGTGAAGCAGACCCACATCCTGCAAGCAGAAAGTGATGGAGCTGGGGTCAGATTCCTAGGCATTCTGGGCCACCAACGTGTGAATGTCATGTTAATTAACTGACTGTTTTAAGTGCTCCTTGGGAAGCAATAGTATGAGATGGCTGGAAAGTTGGAGAGTAATCGGGGCTTAGTCCCAGACATTCTTTGTTCTTACTGTACTCTCCTGACAGACCCTTGCATCTAGCCTCAGGGATGTGATCACTACTTATATGCTGTGATCTCCACATTTCCACTCCGGGTTTTGAGCTCCAGTTCCACACATTCACTGTCTGCAAGTCTCTCAGATGTACCACGTACAGATCTGTCCCCTCCATTCCCTGACGTGCTCCTTCCCCAGTCTCACCCCACGCGGCCAGGGACCGCCAGAAACCCAAGACATATTACTACCTCTCCCCAGTTCAGTCTCCAAGAAGCAGTCAGGATAACTCTCAAGAGCACCCACCCATGCTCCTGCACACCTCACGCTCCTGCTTCCTCCTGAGGGACCTCATAACTCAAGCTAAAAAGCAAACTCGGACCAGGTCCTGAGTGACCAGCCCCCAATCTCACAGGTAAGATTTACCACCCTCCCAGGTAAAGTGACTTCACAGTCCCCTTGCTCCAAGTGCTCTCACTGCTGTCCCTCCTGCAGGATGCACGGCCTCCAGCTCCTTACCTGGCTGGCCTTCTGCTCATGTGCAGCTCAGGCTAAACACCCCACTTCCTCCAAGAGACGTTCTCTGCCTCCCCGTTCAAAGCATCCCTGAGTGTCTCTCTCTTTCCCAGGCCTGCTCTCCTCACATCACGTGTCACCATCTGGGGTCACCAGGGTGTGGGTGCTGCTATTCTCTCTTGCCTCCTAAGAGGGCAACGGGAAGGCAGGTTTCATCTGCTACTGTAGACCCAGTGCCGGGCGTGCGGGAACGAGTCAGGGTCTGTTGAATGAATGAAAGAATGGCCACAACTCTAGGTTAAGCCCTCAGCTCTCACCTGGACAGTTACCAGAGCCTCCTCACTGGTCTTGCTACCTTCAATCCCTCTTTCTTCATTCCAATTCACCTTCCACAAGTGCTGACAAGAGTTCTAAAAAAACACATTTGATCCTGTCACTCCCTTGATGAAAAGTCCAGACTTTCCCCCACAGCCTCCAGTGTCAGATCCAAATTTCTTAGCATGACATGAAGGGGCTTTTACAACCTGACTCCAATTTGTCTTCCAGCTTCCACTCCGGCCACTCTGAGTCCCATACCCTGTGATTTGACCACACTGTTACCGGATGCTCCTCCACACGCCTAGCTGTTTTCTCCAGCTTTAAAGGTCTTCCTTACCCTTCTGTAACTCCAGTGCACCCTTCAAGGCCAAGATCAAATGCCACTTTTTAAAAGCATTTCTTGGAACTCCCCCACTGAATGGAACTTAATGATATTTGATGCATACTAAAGAATACACAAAGCAGATATCCTCGGTACTGTTCATATCACTGTGACAACGTGTACTTCGGACTCCAGGAGCTGAACTGTGAGCTCCTGGGAAGGCGAGGCCCAACGTGGCCACCACACGCAGTGGCTTCCAGCCTATACCCAGAGTTTTTGGAATGCATTTCTGGTTTCAACTCTATTATCAACTTGCTACCTGATCTGGACAAGACACTTAACTTCTCTTTGGCTAGCTCCTCATCTGTAAGATGGAGACACCTGCCCACCCTCCCAAGCAGAGGTTATGTGTAAAAGTCTCTTTCGAAGCTCTATGTCTCACACCAAGGCAAAGCCCAGCAGGGAGGTTACTTCACCACCACTCCCAGCACTCTCTGAAGAACAGCCTCTGGCGACCCTGGCTTTTAGACATTCTGATCAAAAGCTGATGAAAATGTATCCAAACAGTCAAAGAATTTCCTTACTGTGAAGGGCAATCAATTTCAGCCTCAAGTTGTAAATGCCAAGCTGGCATTAAACCAGACACAGTCCTAGCATTCTAAATAGCCATTTTTCAAATACAATGTAAAAAGAGTATGAGACAACTCATGCTTAAATCACGAAGAGTAAGGAGATGCTTTCCAATCTGGGACTCCCAGTCACTGGGCAGGGATGGGGCTGGCTGATGCAGCCTGAGTGCTCTCAGGGCTCTGGGACTCCGGGGACGTTCAGTCTCTGGCGCCAGCCCTCCCCCAGCCATGACACACAAATCTTTCTTGTTCTCTAAGTGGCATTCCGTGCCATCCTCGGCCAGCGCTGCCTTGGGATCCTGTTTACCAACAGCCCTTTCCATGACTCCAGTCCCCTCCCCCAGCACACTCTCTCCTACCTAAACAAACAAAACTCTGCACAGACTTTAAATTCAACTTTCTGTCAATGGCACAGAGAAGGCTGCTTTTGTGCCCCTCCTGACCAAAAAAAAAAAAAATTCATCCAGCTACTTAGAAATCACTTCCTTAGACAATATTAATAAAACACCTCGGTAAATAGACCATTTTCTGCTTAGGATTTTTTAATGGAGAATGGATTAGATACTTTTCCTCTACAGTCTGTCAGTCCAGGTGGCACGTTTTGGTTTCAGTCAACCCAGATGAAACTAGAAGAGGAGATGGCATGGTTCAAAAGATTTCACCAAATCCAATGGCAATGTCAAGCAGGAGCACCTTGGATGGATACTGAAAAGGCATGGAGAGCAGGACTGCAAAGAATCAGCGTTTTAGCTGCAATTTGTCAGGTTGAGTTTTCTTCCCCAAACAAAATTATTTCTTAAAACCAGAATCCATAATGTGTTTCCATCCCGAGTTGATGGTACTAAAACCACACATCAATGCAAAACCACTCAGACTTTCTGAGAGCGAGGTCCCATGTGATCTGGTCCTGCACATCAGGGCTGAGGTCACAGGTGGATTGGAACCTGGGCTTCGCACTCAGGAAGCCCACCTTTCTTTTCCATTGGGCAGAAAAGTCACACTGAAACAGAGGAGGTATAACATTAAACATGTAATGGCAATACTTTGAGCTGAAGGCCACTCCCATAGCTTGAAAAAATACAATCTATTTGGTAATTTTCTATCTGCCACATTTAACAGTCCTGACATGTTCCTGGACAGACAGCTCAGATTATCGCAGGCTCCTTCCAGAATGAAAGTGAAGATAGAAGACAATACAAATACTGGCAAAACCTATGTCATGTGATCTAATTTTAAGTGCCAGGATTTCTAACTATGTCAAAGGTGATTTTACAGCAACTATTTTCAAGAGCAAGAGAACTACTCCTTAGCCAAATACCTGTCAAACATGCATACGAGAGCTTCTGCTACAATTTAAGCAGCCTAAGGAAATATCATCAAGTCCTTTGATCTGCATGAAATTCTCTGGTGATGTGAACAAAGTTTGGAATTCTACATTTTCTTATTTAAGATATTACGAATGATAATCATGGTGTTGTTCCTATCTCCGTTATAGAAGAGTGTTAAAGCACCTGTTTCAGACACCTGAGCATTCTCCATAAAAACACACAACACAGTTACCCCAAAGAAGAACAGGGAAAAGGTCAACACATTAATCCACCACATTTAAACCTGGGTACCAGTAGGTAGGAAGGCTGAGCAAGTGAAAAATGGGCTTAGTGTGAAGTGTCAAATAAGGCCCACTATCCTTGGTAAAGAACACATCAATTCTTAAAGGAATTCTTAACAGCTAAGACAGGGTGCTACTTACTTCCTCATTGAAAAGTTTGCTAGTTTCTTTTTTGATTGGGTCTATAAGCTGGACTTGGCCTGCGGAAAAGCCCACTAGGAGAGAGACACTTTCTGCTGTGGCTGTTAGGTGGTTGAAGTCATGACAAGTAGGCTGTGTTCCTTTGTATATCCTTTTATCTATTGGTTTACTCAAGTCAGCAGCCTGGAGGAGAAAGAGAAAAATACATACGGTAAACAGCACATTGAGATGAGAAATCTAAGTCATACTATTTTATGCTCCACTGTGATGTTTAATCTTAAAAATTAAGCTACTTAAGATATTTTTCCAGCTAACTCACTATTGTTAGACTACCAATAATATGTTTATAGCTGCTATTTTCACAACTTATTCTCCTTCAAATATATGTAACAAAGTCTCCTGGACTTCAGGAGGAAAAATCCTTGAGATACTAAATTTAGTATTTTCAAAACGCATTCCAAGCAGGGTCTAGCAGAGTAATTCTAACCACATAAAAGCTCGGCTTCAAATATATCTATAGCATCTAAATGCCCACTGGCCAGTTACTCACACCCAGTGGTTCTCAGAGTGTGGTCCCTAGACAAGAAGCGGCAACATCATGTGGGAACCTGGCAGTGCAAAATCCCAAGCCCCACCCCAGACCAAGTGAATCGGACTCTGGGGGTAAACCCAGCAGGCTGCAATGTGCAAAGTCTCTCAGGTGATTCTGATGCCCACTCCAGTTTGAGAACCACTGCTGGAATCAACTTGATGCAGCCTCTCTCGGTGCAATCCCTCTGTATCAGCTTTCAGGGAGCTTTCTCTCATGGAGTCCATGCTATAGTGCTTTACATCAATCACCTATAATCTCAACAATAATCCTTCAAAGTAGACACTATTTTACCCATTTACAGATAAGAAAAGTTTAGGGAAGTTAAATAACTTGGCCAAAGTCACCATACCTACCTAGTAAGTGGCAGGGCTGGATGTGGAGCCCAGGTCTGTTTGACCAGAGGGATGAGGAGAAAAAGTCAAAAGCAAATGGCTTCTGAATTGGGTTAAAAGTGATTTTCTGACCTGCCTGTCACCTTTTTTCAAAGGATTCTTTTCTTCAAGTGAAATGTTATGTATAATCCCAACACACTTGACTTTTATTGTTGAAATAAGGGGAATCCACCCCCTCCCACTCTTATCTAAAAATCATGGGTGGGGACAACTAGCCCTGCTGAGCATGTCCTTCAAGACATTCAGTTCGTCCTGCATGCCATTCTGGGGTTCCTGGTTTTTAGTTTTCTACTGTCCACCCCTCCATGAGGCTCTGAAGAGTTCTTTCTTCCAAAGAGACCTGTGATATTGCACCAAGTATTCTAGTGTCTGATTTTCAAATAACAAATATAAATACTGAGTAGAAAAGGGGACCTCAAAATAACAGGCATCATCTTTGAGCAAATTCAAAACTTGTGCGTGAGGAAGTCTGGACCTGAGTGGTCCAAGTAGGTCTGGGAGCCCCGGGCAGAGGAAGGAGGCCATGTCATGTGACACACACACTCCCAGCCTCACCTCGGTTAAAAGAGATGAGACTCTGTTCTACCAACCTCATGGGATCTTCTGAAGGATGAAATAAGAGAATATATACATGAAAGAGTCTTGGAAAGTGTAATAAAAGTACGGCACAAAACGAAAGGGAGTCCTGACTTCGGAGCAAGAAGGAAAGGGGCGGGGGAGGAGTGGCTGCCGTGCAAACTAGGCATGCTGAGGCAGCTGGCTGAGGGCTGCAGTGAGCGGCGAGGGCACGAGGGGACACCCAGGGACAGGCTGTCTGAGAGACGCAGCTTCCGAGCTGTGTCTCAGGCTCAGGGAACACAAACCAGTCGTCTCAGAACAAGGACGATACCAGCAAAAGTAAAACAGTTAAAAACATGAGATACAACTGGCAGCTAGAGAACAAAATCCGGTTTGAAATATGAACAATTAAACTATGCATGATCATTACATCAGCATATACAACTCATAAGATTTTTGTTTAAAAAATTTGCTTAGGGAATCTTCCCCTAAAAAAATATACAATGAAATTATGTGCTAAAATGTACAGAGGGTGCCAAAAACATGTATACACACTTTAAGAAAGGAAAAAAACTGTATTAAAATTGTAATACTCAATAAGATGAATACAGGTCACATTTGACTTCTTCAATTTCAAAATGTGCTCGAAGTGGTTACCATCACTGTCCAGACACTTCTGATTACAGCAAACATCTCTTAAAATGTGTATATACTTTCTTGACACCTCCAGTATAAAACAACTCAGAGGCTAACCAAAAATGAACAAAGAAAACACTCTAATATACATTAAATGAACAAAAGAATATGCAATGTTTCTCAGAAACAACAGAGGAAGAGAAAGCACCTATTTTTCCTTCGTTGCTGCCGAGATGAGCATATTAGTCTGCAGTCAAACGTACTGTCTGCAGTAGAGAAACCAAGAATAAGAGTTCAGAAACTTTTATGGCAATTGACAGGAATTTTTTATCTGTTGAATCTGATGATTAAAAAAATAATCAGAATATGTATTTTGCTTATCTTTTTCAGTTTCTTTTTCTTATAATTATTTTTTATTATACTGAAGTATCAATCCACATTGACTGAAAATTTTTAAAAGCTGGTCCCTCGGAGTGAAGAGCACTGTCCTAGAAAACTCAAAAGTAGGCCTGGGCCCAAGAAACACAGAGTATCTCTCTCACCTAAGATCACTCCTCCCTCTCCAACCCCTCCTCAGTGGCACTGACCATACTAGAAGAGCAGAAGTTCAGCTGGCCAACACGTCATCTATACCCAAGCGAGAATTACTGTGATGTCTGAAGTGACTGCCAGATACTTGTCCACAAAAAAATTCTATTTCTGAAAGCCCATGGACTCCACTGTCAGTGTCTAGCTTTCTGGAGCCCAAGTCCAGGTCAGAGGCAAGTTGGGCCTCCCATGCCTGTCCCTTCATGGCCAAGCACAACTGTCTCTCATTCAGCCCTCCTCTCTCCTTTACAGCCAGTCACCAAGTTCTGTCTCTGTTTTCATTAATGTGTGACTGTCCTGTCTCCCCTCCTTTTTGTGGATGGTCTGTCAGCTGGTAATCTGGGCTCATACAGTTTTTTGGTAGCAGCAGTAATGACCTGAGACAGCTCCACCTCTTCCCCTGTAGATGACCTCCCAGGTAGACAGAGGCAGTCCTGGGAGAGGGAGAAAGAGCCCAGACTTGGAATCAGGCAAGCCTAGGTTCAAACTCACCTTCTCCCCCAGGAGCCAGGTAGCCCTGGGCAGAGTGTGTTTCCTCACCCTGAGCCTCAGGGAACACAGTCTCCTTCTTTCCCTGCAGGACAGTGTGATGGGTGCTGACAAGGACAGAAAGCACAGAGTACACAGAGCGCTCAGGAAGCGACCACTACCCACTCATTCTGGTCACACCCTGCCTCAGATCCAAACACTTCCGTGGCTTCCGGATTTCTCACACATCGAAGGAAGAAGATGTACCTGGCATCCCTGCCCTCCAGGGTTCAGCCCTGTCCTCCCCCACAGCCATACCACCTTCTGTCTACCTGACACCGTGCCAGGCCTCACCAGGAATGCACCATCCTACCCAGTCTCACAGTCACCCTTCAAAGTCGGCGCCATGGCATCCCCATTCTACAGATGAGGAAACTGGACAGAGTTCAGGGCTCATAGTACCCTCACATACTCCACATGGCCTGGCCTCTCTACCCCAACTCGCCTGACCACCAAGCACGCATCCAGGCCTTGGTCCCCTCTTTCCGAGCTTCAAGAAGTTTGCCCTTTTGGTCAGAACCATCTCCTTTACCCTCTTTCCTGGGAACCCTCTTCATCAGTTCACGTCCCGCCACCTCCAGCATGCCTGTTCCCATCTACCATTCTCTGTGCTGGCTCCTTTATCTCAATTCTCAAGTACTTAATTTGTTTCATAACATTCACTGTTTAATCACTTAAATGATTTTAGAATTGTTTTATGTCTGTTATCATCAATTAAAATTATAGAGAAGAGAGCAGTGATGACAATTTTTTTTAATTACAATAAAATAACTACTTTAAGGAGAATGTCTTTATTAACATTTGTTTTTCAGTTTTCCTGTGGAATCTGCATACCCTGGGATCTTAAAAAGTGGTTTGCATTCTAATTACTGCCAGTTATCTGAGTTCTCCTTTTTTATTTTTTTTTTTGAGTCGGGGTCTTACTCTGTCATCCAGGCTAGAATGCAGTGGCATCATCATGGCTCACGGCAGCCTCCTCCTCCTGGGCAATCCTTCCAACTCAGCCTCCCAAAGTGCTGGGATTAGAACAGGCGTAAGTCACCGTGCCCAATTAATAGAAAAATTTTAAATCATGGTTTTAAAATTCCTACTATAGAAACAGAGCTGGTTACCAAAACCTCAGTCGGTAAGTAAATATTTTTAATGTCATACTTCTCTTTTCCTTAAACTTTTGATCCTGAAAATCTCTGGAATTCTTTTCATGAGAAATTCTGCTGAAATAGGTGTCAGCCTGGTTGGCTTAGCACAGCACTAGTGAGCCTGCTGGTGATTAAGGGACTTCTCTTTCCAGCGCCACAAAGAGTCTGTAAACACACCCTCCAGTTCTGGCTCACACCTTCGCCCAGGCCACCTGCCTGTGTCCTTTCCCTGGGGAATGCCAGGAGGGGCTTGGACACTCAAGGGCTAGCCCAGCAAGAGGGAAGAGCATGCACCCTGCCTCCCGCGGCTCAATGGGCTTCGACAGGGCTCCAGGAAGCCTGTATGTACATCACCGGCAATAGCCATACCCCATCATATGGCCTGTGCCGAGCTCTCTTCATGGGAATTGGCTACTTGGTACTCCTGAGTGTCCAGAAACATCTGATATGGTATGAGAAGTAATTCAGACCTCTTTTGAAAAACTCACGTCAAGGCTAGGCGCAGTGGCTCACACCAATAATCCCAGCACTTTGGCAGGCAGAAGCAAGAGGACTGCCTGAGACCAAGGGTTTGAGACCAGCCTGAACGATTTGATGAGACCTTGTCTCCGCAATAAATTTAAAAAATTAGCCAGTCGTGGTGGAGTGTGCCTGTAGTTCCAGCTACTTGGGAGGCTGAGGCAAAAGGATCGCCTGAACCCAGCAGGCAGAGGCTGCAGTGGCAATGAGTGGGCCATTGTACTTCAGTCT